TGAAAACCGCACCATCGAACATGCGGCGGATACCGTCGAGAGCTTCTCCAACAACCGCTATTGAAAGCTGTTGTGTCTTCACAACCTCGTCCAAAACTTCCAACGTAACATCACCCACAGTGGCGACCGTGTCCACATACGCCAGTGTATCCGTAATCTCCTTGCTCCTCTTTGCCTTCTTAAAGCTTTCCTTTTGCTTTGGTCTTCCAGATGGACGACTAGCTGTATTAAGCTTTACTATGCTTTTGGCATCATCATCCAATATTTGTGGGGAGGCTTTTCTTCAGTTGTCTCGTCCAATTCAAGTTTTCGCTTCGCTGAAAGTGAAGACAGCTTCTTCGACGCCCGTTTTGTCTCTCGGATGTTTTGTTCTTCTTCGTCCAGCGGAACTTGAAGAGGTTTTTCGAGGCCCACCTTAACATCCTGTCCAGAAGTCGAGATACATGGTGGATTGGTACTGTTCTCACCCAGTTCGTCCAAATTTGTGGTAAAATCACCAATATTGGTGGTAATACCACCAATATTGGCACTATCGTCATCGGCTTCTCCTGCATCACCTGAGCTGAGCGTGCCTGAACCGTTCCTTTCTGCATCCAACATTGGCGGACCTTTGTCATCACGAACCATGTTATCTAAGGCCTTTAAATAGCGGTACCAACTCGTAAATCCTCGCTTCCCTTTATCAGTGACACCCTCGGCAATTCGTTGGCAAACGGCAAATATTGCTCGGTATTTCTGGCTGTGCGATTGAACTCGATTTGAGCCGTCGAAGGCAACATCACCCACAGACAAGCTCACAGCGTCTCCTTCTTCACATACAGGATCTTCACAATCACTGGAGACCTCAGCTATCGACCATCGCTCTGGGATTGTTTCAAATGGAATTGCGGATCGGAAAGAATCATTTTCGCGCCTTAAAAATATAATATGCCGGCACGGGAGAAGAAGCGTTTGGTTGAACACGCAGCTACAATTGTTCGTCTCCAAATTAACCTGAAACAACATAATAACGTTAGTGGAATAGGACATTAACATCGAACGAGCCACAGAACTTACCGCATATTGACTTGACGATATCTTGCTGGTCAAAGTGAACATAAAACTCGAAGTCTCGCAGGGTTCAACAGTGTAATCCGCCCCCTTGCTAGCTGTATATTGACTTTCAATCTGATCGCATGCATGATGTGTTGCTATCTTTGCCAAGACTTGAAGTTCTTCGTCGTACTTGTGATTGTGACGGACGCCAACCCGTTTCGACTTGCTGCGATATTTATCCTCGGCAATCTGCTGTAGAAAAAGCAAATGGTCGATGCACTCATCCATGGGCATGTGGCGATGAAGAATACCTTTCGCAGCCCCCCAACTTGCTTCCAATCGGTTGTTTGTGTTGTTGTCCAAGTGAGGGATGCATCCGCGCAGGAACGTACACCACAATGGCTTACAGCTTAACCAATTGGCTTCCAGATACTCCAAAAATTGTTGCTTACTCTTACAAAGAGCTTGAAGGGCTCGCATATAGCGATCGAATTCTCGTTCATCACCAGTCCGCACCATCATCGTAATCAAGTTCTTGGCATGTATCTTCTCAAATGCCGTACACGCGTAGACTTTTTTGCTGATTTCGCGTTTGAGATAGTCAATGACGTGGAAATGACAAAGAATCACTGCAGCCTCAGGTAGTTCTTCTGCTAGTACGCCAAGTTCAGTGAAATCCTTATCAATAATCACCACCATGATATTGGCCCACGCTGGATTGTTCTGTTTAAATGCCTTAAACGCACTCTTCATGTTAGGCTTTGTCTCTCCGTCAATCAAGGCATGCTGAACAAACGCCCCGCTGCCAAATTTATCTGTCACCATGAAACTAAACAACCTATACCTACATCAAATTCATTGTTAGTAATTGGTGAATATGAAACCAATTCCTACCTAATTGGTGACATCACCTAACGTGTTGGTAATTATGTCACCAATTTATTAACTGGTGCTCACATCGTACCTGTTAATGTTTGTGCCGTGTGTGGCATCTATACAAAGTGCTTCTGGGAATTTGCGAGCCATCCTTTTCATATGTGCTGTCTGGAAGGTTATACAGCTCGTCAATTCGGAACCTGGATCGCGATAGATATTGACAGCCGTTCCTGGACCTTCACTGAAATCTTGCAACAACTGTGAAACACGGACATTGTCATCCGGCGAGGTGTATGTTTCGCGTCGCATCTGAGCAATCGTGTTTTCGACGTCCTTTGGCTGGATCGGTTTTCCGGATGCTTCTTTTAAATATCGCAGAATCTTTTTGCGGCTGGACCCACCTATAAGACATCATGTTAGCAAATGACCAGCTATATGTTGTACTACTGTTGATCTTACCTTGCCACATTGTTTTAACAACAATCTTGGTGTCAGGCGAGTCCACCTTGCGAGTCTCAGCGTACGTGAAATACTTTTCAGGACCAGCGCTATGGTTGTGGACCGACGTGTGCTTTGAAACACATACCGTATACACTCCGCCTTCGTCTTGTTTCAGGAGCGCGTTCAGTCTCGCCTTACACCCAATCCCTCGAACAGTGTGGTTTGTTCTGATGCCTTTTCCACGGGGGTTAAACTGCCAGCCGTGAGTGCAGATAAAGGTCTTCGAGTAGAACACCAATTTCTCGTCGTACAGGACAGGCTGTGTACCTGTCAAAGCACAACGTTTACTTCGCTCACGATTCCGATCACGTACAGAGTTACTCGTTCGCAACTTGTAAATCTGATGAGTGTCCTTCTGGTACCTACGCGTGAATACATTTATTAGATACATCACATCAAACGCACCCGCCAAATGTCATTGTACCGTTCAAAAGCCGCCTCAAGGTCAGGCCACGATGCAAATACACCGCTAAATGGAAGGAAAGTAAGTTGAATTGTTTTCCCCATTCTATGCTCCGTTTTATCTCGGCTTTCATCGCCTGAAGCTCTGGGAAGAGTGCCTCCATCTTGGAGATTAGCCTTTCCACTGGTGGGGCGCGATACTCGGCTTGCTGACATGACACTACGACGAGCGGCGCCGATAGGAAGTACCGGGGAAGAACTGGGAAGAGCTGGGGGGGTGCGGGAGGCGGGAGCGAAAGACGGTCTAATGAACGGCGATAGAGACTCGCAAATTTTGAAAAACAAAATTAGAAATTTTTGATACCGGTATTCACCGGTACTTCAAATGTTTGTTTTATGTCAAAAAATATTGGTGAACCTAGACACTTCCTAAAATTATTGCGTAGGCCACGCATGCTGTCGCCGCCCCGGTATACCGGTATAGGAATGTATGTTTTGTGTTAGCGGCCGAGACACATTGCGACTTGTGCGTGATAGGAACGCGTTTGTCGGCGTCTGAGGCAAAGATGGGAGGGACACGACATGGGGCAGACGTATAACTGCGAGGGCCTAGGCTTCAGCCAGGTCGCAGGGGCAGCGAGAGTCTTGCGAAAGACGGCCGATGCGACGATGGAAGCAGCGCGACTTGTGACTGATGGGGGCGCGTTGACCACGATCCGGGCCACGAGGATGGAAGCGACGCGACGTGTTGAGCAAAGGCATCACTGCGAAGGCATGTGCTTCATGTAAAACATGGATACGACTGGATACGACTGGTTCGCAGGAGCAGCGAGAGTCTTGCGACGACCGCCGACGACGACTCGACCGAGTGCGCAGGTCAGAGGCGAGAGGCGACGAGGGATTACTGTAGTCCCAAGCTCGACGGGGGCGCGATCGCGATCGGCGAGCGAGAAGCAGAGCAGACGAATCGTCATCTGAACGTCGACGGCGGCTCGAGAAGGAGCGGGCACGTAAAGCCAAGAAGCGGTTTGAGGAGACGGCGGTGCAGCACGAACAACGGCTTGAGAAGGATCGAGTACGCCGGGCCAAAAAGTAAGCGGCAGAGACATTGCCCGAGCGCCAAGGTCGCCTTGCCAGAGAGCGCGATCGGAGGTTAAAACGGAAGGAGAATGGAGAAAGTAGCTGCCCTGTGTCGCACGATGGTCAGTCTAGCCGAGATCGGGCGCGGGAATCGGCGCGGGTTCGTCGCGATAGGGAACGGGTGAATACACCCAGCGTTTTACGGGAGCTGTGTGACCGAATATTAGATTGTGGTCGACACACGGACGAAGAAGTTCGTTTTATGAGTCATGGGCAGCGATTTACGAGCGATCCTCGATTAGCTCTGGCGTACTACTATTGTTGTGGAGTGGACCTAGGTGCTTTCGTGTTTGGGGGCGAGCAGTTGAACGGCGGGGCCACAGAGGGCACTCGGCGTCGGCTTAAGCGGGCCTTTGATGATTATCCGAAGTCTGCTGACATTGCCGTTTGCCAGTCGATTGTTCGCGCAGCCGAGTCTGAATCGACAAATATATTGGCGTGTGCTTCATGCGGCCGGATTTTGCCTGATAACGGCGACGATGTGGTCGTATACAGTCAGTTAAAATCCCTACACGCGATGTTTTTGTTAGGGGACTCGGAGCGTAGTGAAGTTTTCAGTAGTGCTCCCACTGCCATAGTGAAGCGCTACCGGCAGCTGTATTTTGACAGAGATGACGTGTATTATTTGATACCCGAGCTGGCTCGCGATCATAGTTCCGTCCCTCTCTGTGGAAAGTGCTTTGCAGACCCACGTAAAAGCCCATTCAGTGTGGGCAGTGGGCATGACTATGGTCGAACTGGCAGCTTACCGGATCTCACCCCAGTGGCGCTGGGTTGTATTGCTCCCATCAGGTGCTTTGGCATGGATATATCGATATCGGGAAAGCACCCCACGGGTCACGCCATTTGCTTCCCGTCTGATGGTCCAGGAAAAGTGGCTACAGTTTTACCTCGTGTTGATGCCGAATGCATCCCTCGTGTTACATTTATTGGTCCCGAAGAAGAGTGGCGGATCCAGCGAAAACAATTCCGTGCACTGTACTCGATTCCGGTGGATGATGTTTAGGAATGGCTTCTTGTTCTCGGGGCACTAAACACTATTTTCCATGATGAAGGAATCCGAGTTGATGCTTGTGTGCGGCGTAGAAACCAACTCCGCGCTTTGGCGGCCGCTAATGAAAGCAGCGTTTGCGTTTGCGATCTCAGTGATGTCAGTGCTGTTCATGATCTTTCGGCCTCCGAGCGCTACGGAAACGACATACGCGATGGCGATACATGTCCCGAGGTCGGTGTCGGTGGGCGGCCAGTTGTTACGCGGCAGTCGGCAGTTCTTCCCTCGGTGGGTGGCGACGGAGAGTCGCTCGGTTCTGGTGTCGTCGACGCGTTGCTGGGGGTGTTGTCGGCTTCTCAGTCGTCGCCCGTGAATCCCCCAGATCAAAGACAACCGCAAGTTATTCCGATTAAGCGGGGCTGCTCTCCTTTGATTGAGTGGTATGACAACGCAAAAATGCTGGCGGGTGCGTTTCCAGAGCTGTTTCTAATTGGGCCTGGGTCGTTACCTTCCAGGCCGTTGTCTCGAGCACATATTGACCATTTCATGCACTATTGGGATGGTCGCTTTGAGAAGTCCACTCGATTCCTAGCTGTTCTTTTTAACCAGTTGCAGAGACACACTGCCGTAAGAAACGCCGCGCGGGTTGGTGCAGCTCGCGGCACTACGCTTAAGTCGTTTGGGAAAATTTCGAGTACTCCAGCGTTCAAAGACGCGCTGACAATTGCTAAAGTGCAACCAGACAGCCCGCCGTCGGTAAGACTTAACGCGCTGTTGCTGCGGATGCTGTCGCTTGTTGGTCTATACCATTTTCCCCTTTCGAGCGAGCTGCTACTCGGCCCAAGTTGGGAGGAATGAGGTATCGTTATGGGGTTGGGCAGCACTGGGTAACCATTGCCCCCCCCCCCCCTGAACACGACGACTTGCTTTTGCATCAAATCGCGCAACTCCGAAGACTGGGTGCTTTTAACGATCCTGACTGCATTTTTGGAGCGCCCAAGAGGGGTGTTTGGTCGTGTTGCAGGGTTTAGTGCGGTTGTTGAGCCCCAAGTCGATGGGCGCCTCCATCTCCACGCTATAGTTTACGGTGCTGCGGTGACACCGGCGTTGCTCACTCGCGCGGCGTCGTGTCCTGCGTTGTGGCCCCATGTAGAGCAATGGATAGAAGCGGTGTGCAGCACAGGCGTTTTCGCTGAGGCCCGGCCGTGGTGTGACGCGTGGCGTGAGGCCCACGACGGAAAGACGTCTCGAGCGTTTAATGTTGTCGTGCCCGACGCGTCTGTCGACTATTCGGGGTTCCTGTTAGCGAGCGAAAAGATGGCGTGCTCGACAAACGTTCATACGCACTCCCAAACGTGCCGTAAAGGCGTGCGAGGACGCTACGCTTGTCGCCTCTCGCGTCCGGCTGGAGTCCACGGCAAAGCTACGCAGCATTTGCTAGTACGTTTAAAAGCGTCTAGTCATCTGGGGAAACGAAAGCGTGCCGAGTTCGTCGTTGAGTCTGCATCCTGCGTTGCAGCCGCAATTGATTTGAGACAGAGTGACGAAAAACGGCTGTTTCGCGAGTACACCAATGGAGCCGTTGTTTGGGAGCAGCGTCGTCCGGCGAGCGATGCGCTCTTTGTAGAGACAAATCTCGCTCTAGTCTGTTTGTCGCGCTCCCATACAAACGCGGCGTTAATCAGTGGCCTTGACTCTGGGGTATGGTGGAGGAGTATCAGCATTCTTATATGACAAAGGAAAATGGCGGCTTGAAAAGCAGCGCTGCTGCCATGTTAACTGCGGTGCGAGACATGGAGAAATACCCCAGTGTTGCTGATGATAGTGGGACGTATGCACGCCAAGGAGAGTATTTGGCGACTCGCACAGTTAACGCGTTCACAGGATCAATCGAGTGGCCTCATCAACTGATGGCATACGCGCTTGCTGGGCACAAGTCTTACCTCTCGAGCGATCATTTTTGGTATGTTTTCCCTCATCAGCTTGTGGCGTATGCCGCGGGGTGTGTTGTGTGTCCTACGAGTAGCGGTGACGAATATTGCGACATTGCATCGTGTGACATTGAGGACGACGCGGCTAAACGGTCTACGAGCGGCGTGTCTGCAGCCGACGAGATCTGCTTTCAGCGAGAACACAGTGCTCACAATTACGACGAATCTCTCGAAGCAGACGACGTGCAGAGACACTTGGAGATACTTGTTGCTGCTGATGTTGAGGATGGCAGCGATGATCAGTCTGTTACTGGGGGTGCTCGTAAAGCTCATGCACGGATGTTTACTGCTGACAAAAAGGTTTTCTTTGTAACGCAACCGGAGTCGTACCGGCATCGCGGTGTATGGCTCGAAGCGTATTCCCCCACGGAGTTTGAAATGATAGTTGACATTTTACCGCGAGTACCGTCTGAGCCCGCATCGGTAGGTGTCGTTCGCGGTCGCCCTAAGCGGCGGGGGGTTGATCTCGCACCAGATCATACTTTGAGTCCTCTCTTCCAGGGTTTCATACGTGCAAAGTTCAGGACTCCGATGCTTGGTGGTGCCCCGTTGCCACCACTAAAAAAGAATGGTCCTCCTTCGGATGCACTTGGCAAGTATATTGTATGTTTAATGGATAAATGGGGATTGGACAGCGGGCGGCCCGAGCGCGACCTTAGCGGTGACGGGCTTGTCAAACTTTGTGTTGAGTGGAATAGCACTGGAGCGAGCTTCATTAATAGATCCCGGTACCGCGTCGTAGAGAATATCCTACAGAAGACCTATCGGTGCGCTCAAAATGAGAAAACATGTTCCGAGTGGAGGAGTCGAAATGTTCAGTTCTGGGCGGACCCGGTTTCATCCACGATATCGCAGGCCGGTGGTCACCACGTGAAATCACCCGACGTTGACATGGAAGCGGTTGGTGCGATACTGCCCGAGGATATATTCGACATGACTATAGCCGCAGCAGCAAAGGATATCAAGGCGGTAAATGCGGCAAGAGCCATGAAATCTACGTTTTTGTCGTTATCCCCTATGGCAACGGAATTCGGTACGCGTGGCAGCTCGTTGCCTTCGTCGCCCGCAGGGGGATCTTCGCCTCACGAGGCAATATATATGAACGAAAAGGGTGCTCCAAGTTTATCTAATATTGCTCGACGGGTGCATGTAATGCTGGCCCCTGAAGAGAATCAAGTCGAACAAAAGACAATCCCGGGTCTTGAACCACGAGGTGGCGTGCCTTCAGACTATGTTGAAGTGAGTCCCGTTAACAGCGCGGAGCGAGATTCTTGTTCCGCTGACCAACGCGCGCTGTTTGATCGCATCGTGGGTAGTATTGAGTGTGGTGGAAAAATGCGGCAAACATTGACTATGTTACACGGTGGTGGCGGAACTGGAAAGTCAATGCTCATGCGAAAGATTACAAAGGTTTTAAGGGAGAATGGGAGTTCGTCTGTGAATACGTGCCCGACTGGGATCGGTGCCTGTCATCTCGTTAATGTCAAAACTTTTCATTCCGCATTCAAAGTGTTTCGCAGAGAAGGGGTCAGTCGTAACGATTTGGAGTTGCTGCGTTTGACGTTCACGGATAGAGTTGGTGTTGTGGTGGTGGACGAGGTCTCTATGTTCAGTGCCGAGTTCTTGGTTCTGCTGGACCATCGCCTTCGAACGGTATACAAAAACAACATTGTGTTTGGAGGGAGGTCGATTATTCTGGTACGATACATGTTTCTCGGCTAATTGTGTTGCCTTACTGACTTATCGTGGTCAGGTTGGTGATTTTCTTCAGCTTGACGTCATAGCGGGGGTACCGCTGTGTAAAGTCCTTTACATGAATACGCGATCGGACGTGTTGTTGTCGGCCCGAGCGTTGTTCCGGCAGTTCAAGGTGTTTTTCTTGCACACGCAGCACCGCGCGGCGACTTGTCAACTTCAGCTGGCAAATTTGGCCGCCTGTAGGGCACTTCCAAGGTTCATCCCGAGCGGTCAGCGGTGGACTGAGAGCGAATCGGCTGAATTTCGCCCGATGACCGCCGACGTCGTAAAAAGTTTAACGCCTAAATTGACGATGGAAGACGTCTTGAACGGCCCAGCATGGCTAGACGAGACCACTGTAATCGTTACCAGTAATGTAGATAAGGCCATTTTAACCGCGCCGGCGGCTGCACTGTTTGCTGACAGACACGGCCAACTTCTATTCCGCTGGAAGCGCCGTTTGCGACAAGAATTGCCGGTGGGGTTGCAAAATCTGGTGTATGACTAGGACGCAAACCCCGAACTGTTCGCGTACTTCGTTGTTGGCGCCCCTGCACATATCCTCGACAACAACAATGGCAATGTCGGATGGGGCGTTGCGAATGGGACCCCGTGTATTTATCATTCTCTGGCCTGGGACGACGATGGAATGCGCTCTGAGGTTGAAGCGCTGGTTGAGCAGGTGCGTCGGTCCGGTGGCAATGTCGTTGACTTGCTGAGTTTGTTAATGTTCGCCTTTGCGACGTGGATAGTGATTCTGTTGGCAAGGCCCAGTGGCCAGACGATGTCAATTTGGAGACGGAGTGGCTCTACGACGCCAGGGGTTCCGAAAATGCTATTTATATTTTGCTGGAGGATTCAGCAATACAAGTAACTTTACCTATCTCTCCGTCAGAGGTGCCTGCACATATTGCAAGAAATATATAGGAGTTTGCATGGAGAATAAGTATTGGGAGATTATTGCGCTCCCCGAACGACCTTGCGCACAGTGGCTGCGCTCCAGTACATGCGGTTCACCTTTAAAAAGAGGATACTCTCGAGATGCAGTGGAGTCATGGCTTGGCGGTGCATGCCAACCACTGCCTTCGCCTGACTAAAGAATCTCTCCACGATGTTGGAAGTCGGAGCGATCATAGACACTTGATCGCTAAAGCGTGAAGTAGTTTGACGAAGTCGTCTCGCCTGCTCGAGCGCAATTGCTGCAAAACCTTTACCTAGCGCTGTTGTCTCCGACGAGCTCGATGGAGGAGCGTCTTCCGGGGCTAGCGGCTCAAGCATAGTCTTCTCATCGTCAGACAGCGATCCCTCACGACCCAGCAGGACATTAACACAAGCTCGCTCGAAGACAGGACTCTTGACGATCTCTGCGTCGGCTTGGAGGTACTTGGCGACTTCGGGTTTCTGAGCAATAAGCGCGTCAAAGAGGTCGCGCACGTCGAGTAGCGTTATGGCGTCCGCACTTTGCAGCTTTTTAGAGGTTGATTCGTACATCTTGAGGGTGTTGAGGATCGTCTTCAGCTGCTTTTCCTCTCGGCGTGTTGGCATAAACTCCGCCAGATCCTCTTCAATGTGATCACAGATGAACTCCTTCAGCTCAAAGTATCTGTTCACCATGGCAAACGTCGATGACCAGCGAGTGTCCTGCTTAGGCACTGGTCGAAGAAGTGTTTTTCGCCTAGCATAACAAAAAATAATCAGATATCAGAAAACAAAAAATTAGTTGAATTAACCCACCGTAACTTTGCGGACACCAACAGCGAATTCTTCACCTTGTACATCAACTTCTGGATCTTAGTGATCAGCTCATCGTCGCCAGAGAAGAGCAAGTTTACCGCCAGGCTCAGACGATGGCTGGCACAGCCCACCATCGAAACCTGCAGCAGATCGGCAACAGCACCGTTCACGGAGCAATTATCTCCGATAATGTAGACAATATTGGCTTTGCTCCGGCCATAGTAAGAGAGAATTGTGTCCAGAAACTTAACGTGACTGCGAGCTGTGTGGTCGCTGACCTCATCGTCGACAAGTGGCGCCATTGCGACCAAAATGTTCTGCACTTGCCATCGTGGCGAAAGGATGCAAAGACTGCGACGTAATGCTCTGAACGGAAGGTCCACCCGTCAAAAATGATGCCAAACGACTTTGGCAGAATACCAGCGATCACAGTTTCAACTTCACGGACTAGTAGGCACATGTATTTCACGAGGCTGTCCGTCGAAAGGCTCCCAATCCTTACGTAGTTGCCGCGTCTGGCTCACAGAACGAGAAGGGCAGATTGCACGAGAGCACAACGTCAATCCAAGAGAAGACTTTGTGAGTCTTGTCATCGACGAACCCAACTAACGTTTCCGTATTCCGTATTTGAGCTGGCGCTTGTCATGTCCGCAACGAAGTTTGTGTGCCACATGAAGACGTGGCCAAGTAGGTTTGTGTAGCCAGTGTTAGGCTCCATTCGGCGCTGGACACCACAGCGACACTTGTATACTGCAGTAGGCTCTTCGTCATCGTCGAGTACAGCCGTAAAATAGAAAGATGACACTTGCTTCGACGTGAACGGGTGCGTGCGGACCATCTTCTTCGACGTCTTGGCCTTCTTGGCATTCTTTGGCGCTCTGGGCGGGGCGATAGCTGCCTTTCGACGCGGCTTTGGAAAGCTCCACGGGGTCTTCGCAGGCATCGTATTGAGTAGAAAAGACAATGGGCTGTGAGTGTATTGCTCCAGCTAAAAATGCTAAATTGTTGGAGGATGATGCGCCATCAATCGATGAACGTGCTCCATTCGAAGAAGTGATTGTGAACCGGTCTCAGGAGACCGGTTCGCAATAGGGTTATTGGTGACACAGAGCACACAACAAATATTGCAGCCCTTCTAAGCAAATCTAAAAATAAATAATTTTTCGATTAGAATACAAAAGTATTTAATAAAAATAGTATTTTCGGAACCCCTGTACGACGCCACCGACGCCCGTGTCCCTTGTCGGAAGCATTCCGGAGATCCCGGATGTTGAAACTACGACCGAATATTGACACGACGCGGTGGAGAATGGATAATCAACTAGGACTTCATGTGGCAGCACCCTTTTATGGCTAGCTGGGCGCGTTTGTGCCTCGACTTCAGTAATTTTCAAGTACTTTGTGGGTATATTGTTGTTAAAGTTTCTTAGCCACCTGGTGAATTCGATGTCGGTCAAAGTCGATCAATCATCATTGACTGCCAAGTGAAAGATGCTACTGGGCAAAGCTTTCGTCCGATTTGGCCCGAGTACGGCAATACCAAAGATGCGTGGATTCTGATCACCGCGTGGTTCCATTTACTTGTCAGATTTGAATTGGTGTCTCGGAGAATGGAGTGTTTGCTTTCTGTATGGTTGGTTTGTTGCGATGCTGTGCCCCATGCTGCCGAGACGGTCGCTCCGTTGATAGATGTGTTTATCGGTCTTTCGGGACCTGCGAGTCTGCATAAAGGGGTGGAGAATGGAGTGTTTGCTTTCTGTATGGTTGGTTTGTTGCGATGCTGTGCTGTGCCCCGTGCTGCCGAGACGGTCGCTCCGTTGATAGATGTGTTTATCGGTCTTTCGGGACCTGCGAGTCTGCATATAGGGGTGGAGTCGGGAAACAACCGAATGGTTGACCTTGTTGCGAGAAGAACCCCTGTCACCATTACGGCGCACCTGCTCCGCCTTCACGACTTCAACCGAGCCTTGGGGGCTGCCGTCCGGGCCAATGATAGTGCCGTAGCGAAGCGCTTAGTCGCGATGTGTTTCGGTCGTGGGTGAAGCGAGACCCCCCCCTCGCCTCCCGTTCATCGGGTCACTGAGGCGATCTTGGTCGCGTCTGGGCGCGGTCAGACGGATATTTTGAAATGGCTATACGACAGAGGGGTTCCTGCCTGTTGGGGTGGTCCTGGAATGTCTCGCGCAGCTCGGTTTGAACGCTTCGACACTTTGGTCTGGCTTCGTGACCATGTTGCCCAGCCCAGGAACACATTTGTCCTTGCCAACGCTGCCAAAAGAGGGAATGTGTCGATTGTGAACTGGGCTCCGGACGTGCTCGGAGACGTCCCGACACAGCGAGCGTTCGATTGCGCTGTTATGGGCGGTCACCTCCACATTCTCCATGATTTGGCGTCGCGCCTGACGGTTGTAGCCGCTTATTATGCAGCGGAAATTGGTAATGTTGATGTGTTGGAGTGGTTAAATCGAAACAATGGCGATTTCGCGGTTGAAGACATGGGCGTTGTTGCCCGCAACGGCCATCTACACGCGGTCCGGTGGCTTCATCGCAACAGATCCGAGGGATGCACGGCGACCGCAGTTGGATTAGCGGCACGGGCAGGCCACCTCGCTGTTGTTGTTTGTTTATCTACTCATCGGCCCGATGCGTGTGATAACGACGCATTGGTAATGGTTATCGGGGGAGGTGACGTTGTTGTCTGTCGATGGCTTTACCGGCATGTACTCCGTGCCTGGACAGGAGATTTTCTTGACGCTGCTGCTAGTAGCGGCTCTCCAGAGATGGTCGCGTGGGTACTCTGTTATTTTTTCCCTTCGCGTGACAATTCGGCTTTGGACATTGCGGCTCGATTCAGACATGCCGCTGTGCTACGAATATTTCTTTCTTTCGCCTTCGCGGGCTGTACGAGCGTTTGCATGGACACTTGTGCTTCTTGGGGCAACTTAGATCTAATTAAGCTTTTGCACGGTGGGAGGGTATCGAGCTGTACATCGTCAGCCATGGATTTCGCGGCTGGAAACGGGCATCTCCACGTAGTAAAGTGGTTGCATCTCCACCGGTCAGAGGGATGCACTACGCGAGCTATGGATATGGCTGCGCGTAACGGGCACCTGGGGATCCTGGAGTGGCTTAGTGAGAGTCGCAGCGAACGTGCACCACGCTGGCAATCGATTGGGCTTCTTTGAATGGGCACATTAGTGTTGTGAAGTGGCTACATCGCCGCCATCCGAGCGGCTGTACCGAGCAGGCCACGGACAATGCCGCATCGAGCGGGCACTTTGAATTGCTGGTATATCTTCACAACCATCTTCGTCAAGGCTGCTCGTCAGCGGCCGTCCACCTTGCTGCCAGTGCGGGCTACCTTGAGATAGTGGAATGGCTTCGGATCCACTATCCGCGCCGGTTTGAGATGGCGATCGTAGAGCAATACGCTGCGCGTCATGGATGGGATGATGAGGTTTTAGAGTGTTTGCGAAGATAGTACTGTGGTGGCACGTCTCGAGACTCTGAATGTGATCATAGATACGGTAGACGACAGCGATGATATCGTCGAAAACAGCATTGGTGAAGCTGGAGATGCGTAGGTAACGCTAGGTGGGAATGATTTGCAAATTGTATGGCCAATTTTAGTTACTGAGGTTTTTTGGTTTGTATTGAAAGTTGTGGTGTCCGGATGGACATATGTTATACAGTACTTACTTGTTCCCGTTTTTAGTAGTCGACTCTATTGTCATTAGTAATGACAATAGAGTCGACTACCGAAAAGCGGGGCGCTGTTTTACAAAAAAACTCATCCCAAAAAAGCGCGTTTTTTTTCTGTGCTAAACGGAGCCATTATGATGAAAGGAAGCTTAATATCTGCTGTTGAGGTATGTATATATCACCTTGACGCTTAAAAAGGTGGACGCGAACTAAGCGACTGCGGAGTTTTTTTTTCTTACGACTAATTGCGTTTATGTCCTCAACACTGCTAACGTTATTGTACCGATTTGACATGTTCTCTTATAGTTTCTTGCAGCAGCTGTAACACTTGTAACTTGCTAAGGCGAAAGCCGGATCCGTAGTCAATGGTGAGTTCGTCGCCAGCTTTGATGTCACTTCTTGCCACGACCCCGATTCGGTACACGCCGTTTACCGACCATTCCTCGGAGGCGTAGTTCGGATCGCAGCTGTGGTTAAAAAACCGTGATTCGTTTCCGAAACGCGTTGCGTCGATGTACGAACCGGAACCATACGCCATCGTGTATTCGGACGGCACATGCAGCTCGCGAATCTGCCTTTCGTTGTCGTCGATTATCTCGCCAACGTACTCTCTCACGACTACCCCTCTGGTGATCGGCTCTTCCGCAAACGCCCCGAGGCCTTTCCATGGTGAACTTTTAATCGCTACGGCTACCGCGATGACATTTTAACTCGCCCAGGGGCGGTTGTCACAAGCCTCAAGACTGCATGTTTGCGTGTTGCATTCTATGCGCCGGTGGCGGTTTGTACATCCTTTGCCGCAATGGAACTTACACGTACACCTTTTCGCAGTCCACTCGCTGTACTGCAGATCACCTGTGTTTTCGGATACATACGTGTACGCGCGCCGCTGCCCGCTTGACCATGTTGTTTGCTGCGAGGTGTATTGTCTGTCAACGGGAGTGAAGAACTGGTACAGCGTTGTTTGCTTCATTCCTTAGGTGCGAGCTGCGCTTGCGGCTCTGTTGTTGTTTTTTGTCGATTTTGAGTCGGGACCCGTCTGTGCTGACCTCGCATCGCTTTCCTTGGTATTTCCCTTCATTATCTCGGATTACGGGTCATTACGTGCTTGGCTCTAATTGTCCATCAGATCGCTCGTCGTCAAAATGACGACGACGTGCACTGTCATAGTCGTCAAGACCATGGTTTCGTTAATCCTATTCCATGGTCCGGTTGCCCCTGTCAATCTATCCTGTATCGATTGCCAACTTAGTCGTCGCTCTCCATTCCTAATTTTTCCTCTTCCGAAGCCATGGTCACCGTCGCTGCAGCTGCTGGATCGCCGCTAAAAGAACGTGTATTTCTACCTCCTGGCGTTGTCATGGGTGTCGCTGCGATTGAGCGCGAGACGAAGACCGAGGAGGACGAAATCGGTGAAGTTGGGGATATTAATAGTCAGGATGCTAAGACCGCGGTTGAACAAGTTCCAGTCGCGACTGGCGATACCAATGGTGCAGGTGTTCATTCTACAGCCGTTGTAACCGCAACTTCCGCGGCCCTACAACCCCGCAAGTCTTAAAGATCGTAGACAAGGAAGCTATAATTAAAGACCTAAACGACTCGACAAGCGGACCTTGGGTTCTGTGCACCCGTGTCCAACACAAAACCGCAATCCGATAGTTAAACAATGGTGATACCAGCGGAAAAGTTTTTAGCGCTGGACTAATCGATTCTAATGGCGACGAAGTCCGTGCGACTACGTTTGGCGCAGCCGTGGGTGTACTTGAGCCGCTATTGCTATGTGGCTCTGTCGTCTCGGTGGCTCGCGCTAAAATACGCCGCGCAAAGCGTAAATATGCCATCGCTGGTCAATATTTTGAGCTCTATTTCGACCAAGACACAATCATTCGGGTCCAGTACGATGACGGCAGCATCCCTCATAGTAATTTTAGCTTTCGGCCTATCGACCAACTAGCAACGCTAATTACAAATTCTTTCGTTGATGTCGTTGGGGTGGTCGATGCACGTGGATGATCCTCGGGAATTTTCGTCCTGCAACCTTCGCAGTGTAACACTCGTTGATGCGACCAATATGGACGTTAAATGTATCATATGGCGTGACATCGCGCGTACCGTGTCTCCTTCTTGGCTAGGTCACGTGTGTGCCTTCAAAGACGCACGCGTCTCTCGTCGAAATGGCTTGGAGATTACGACCGTGATGAACACCTCGTGTGCGATCCGGCCCAATATACCCGAGGCACTATAATTGCTCAAGTGGCGTGCTGAGAACGTGACCAAGATACCCCGCCTCCAAGAAACATTTCCATGGCAGACTTTGGATCAGATCCTAACCTTCGATGTTGGGGTGTATGTTAGCGTGGTTGCGACGATAAAAACGGTTGGTACACCAAAAGATCGCACGATACAGGGTCGGCCGTCGCGATGCCGGGAAATTGTTGTCTCCGATGTTACGAACAAGGAGCTTTCCTGCACGTTGTGGGGCGGCTTCGTGGACACAGTAGCGCCGGGACACGGAAACAAAAGATTAGCCATGCAAGCGTGTCGGGTGACCGAGTATATGGGCAAGAAGTTTACTTTGACCCAAAAAACGTCGCTAACGCTGGACCCGGCCGTCGAGTAGCCCTGCACAGCCGCGTCTTGGCTCGTTGGTCTTGCCCGTGGCTTTCTTTTGTCTTTTGATTTTTTCCTATCTCAGTGTGGTGAAGTGCTTCCTCAGAAATAAGAGAATGGACCTGACGCGGGGTCACTATCCCGAATCAGTGACAATTTCAAGTGATTAGAGAGGATTTGGATTGTCTGGCACGGATGCAAGTTGCCTGTGGTGGATTAGCCATGACGAGCAGCACCCCGTATGAAATGACGGTGGATCTGGTATGAGTGATGTACGGGAAGGCAAGATCCACCAAGACCTATCTCGGATCCACCCTTACCTGGACTCACTTAGATGGATATGGGACATACTATATACGGGTGGATCGAGTGTGGATCCTATGAAGGAAAGATGGTAGGTGCCATCTATAGGTGGATCTAGTAACCACGGCTAACAAGAAGTCAAGATCCAATGCGAGGTGTCCCGGATCCCATACTTCCGAGTTCGGATCCAAGGAGGGAGGATTTCGCATAGGACGACCTGGATCCGGGATACAGGGGTGATGGAGGTAGTGGATCTCGAACTTTCGTGGGACCATGGAGATCACAGACGGTTGCAAGATGATGTTGGATGATTGGAGAGCTCAGATCCACGACGAGTGTACACTTACAGTGAAGTGGATCCAAGCGACCTGGATCCGGATGAGTGTACCCATAATAGGGTGACCATAATGATTACGCCATGGATCCGGTGGATCTGAAGATAATACAGCTGGGATGATGGGTCAAGGAAAGAAGGGACATGCAGCCGAGCCTGGTAAGGGATTTAACAAGTGAAAGACATAGAAGGTAGAAATCGAGGCAGGTATAGGCTTAAGGATCAATACAGACTTCTATTTTCACAGTAACACGCAAGTGCCTTCCTGCCCTCAAGAACCGGAACTACATTGGCCGTACGAGCTCGGAGAAGGTTGGGAATTGCGAATCTAGTGTTGGTAGTGATAACTGGATAATACATTGGCCAGATCCTACAACCTAGTGAGCTTTTCATTTACTTGTGCAGATCCGACAGGTTAACCGAATTTACTACTTGGTCGGTTACACCCTAGAGGCTCTCAGCTCTCAAGATCCCGTCACAGGAGGCGGCAGGTACGACGCAAAGGAACTACAAAGGCAAGAAAACACACCCGCAAGGCAACCCTACGGCCAGATCCACGATCTAGGCCCCGGATCCATAAGCTCGAATATTCGCTTAGGATTCGGAACCATCCACGGACGCAGAGTGAAGATTTTACCACTGCTGCCCCACTTCATCCCCACGTCTCGCCAATACACTCAAGCTTCACCACTTGAACTCTTCGGAAGTTACCGAGAGAGCAAGATCCTGCCCTACCGAAGGGTACACAAGGTGAGGAAAGTTCAGCAGAATACGGATCATCGGGGGACCCCCTCCGTTAGTCGGTGTCTGGGCGCAGTTGGTAAGTTGGATCCAGCAATCTCGCAGATTTTGCTGATCCCGCTACGCCACAATGGTGCGCGTGCCCGGATCTTTTGGTGACTCGGGATTACACCGTGAGTTCCAAGAAGATGCTTAAGTGAAGATTGAGCCAGGGGAAGAGGCGTCGTTGGAGGTCGGATCGACGAAGACGCTGCTGAATGAAACAAGATCCGCGGATCGATGGAGTTTTGGGAGGAACTCTGTCGACGGAAAGGAGGTGGATCCGGATCCGGATCTAGAAGAGAAACCTCTCTATCCTCCCCAGGTCCCCTCGGGGACCCCTGCGGATAATGACGCAAGTCAAGATCCGCTAACAAAGCAAGGGAAAGTGAAGGTGAAACGGTATGTATTTGCAGATTCACCGGTTAAGCCAACACCGTACCTAAGCCCAACCCCGCTAGTCGAAGAAACGAGAAAGAAGACGAGAACGAGTAAGACTACGCGGAAGAAGATGCAAGCTCCAGAGTCAAAAGAAGACCAAGCTGGATCCAGGTCAAGCTGGTCCGACAAGGATCTCGAGTTTGTCTATCGACACCAAGCTTTACGCGACTTCCTGCATCAAGATCCTGTCATGCAGATCCTGAATCCACGACAGATCGAAGATCCAAGGGAACCGGTGAGAGCACCAACGAAAACGGCGAACAAGTTGGTGGCAGTCAAAGATCTATTACGTTTGCTTACGGAGTCAGGCATCGTAGCTGGTGTGTTCGACGCAGAAGATATCTTCGAGCTAGACCTGGATCTCATAGTATCCGCGACGCGGGACCTCTTTGCCAGAGTTAAGTCCATCACCGGAGAAAGGTCGCGCACTATGGATCCGGTGTCGTCGCCGAGGGTCAGCCAAGCTGCATCCTCGAACTACGAATCCGCCGCTGAGGATGAGTCAGACACGTCGTCCGAACCACGACGCATGACTTTAGGACCCTCCGGGGCATCCATGCTGGAAGCGCGGGCGAGGAGCCGAGGACAGGAAGTCCCTGTGAGCGCGAAGGCTCGGGATCCAGTAGGCCCTACGCGTGATCTGACACAATCCGCCACGATCGAGCCAGATCCGGCAAGAAGCCAGTGGGATTATCGTCAGATCGGGCTCAAGGTAATCGCCTCACGGATCCGGTCTCGCCAGTGGACCAGACGGCCACAGGCTCTTCCGACACTTCCTCGGGCACCCTGCAGCGACACTTCGAAGCTGCGATGAGTCGTTTCCTGGCCGAACAGGGTATGAGAGCGCCCGTGCCACAAGTGCAAGTGCTCCACGAATATGGAGCACGAGACGTGGAGATGGAGTCAGTGGAGGGAGACAACTCCCATGATGAGTTCAACCCAGATGATCTGGATGGCCCATCCACTTCGTCAGCAGTGGTAGCAACAGCCACAGCCGGGGCAGGTGGATCGTCCATGATCCAAAGGGTACGGGATCTCAGCCATATCGGATCTGAAGGAGTTCACGGGCAAGGATCAAAGATGAGGACCGAGCGAGAACATGGATCAGCAAAGTCAAGTCGGCCCTCATGAGAGATCAAAGCGTCGGATGTTGAGAGGTGTTTGACCTTTGTGGATCTGCTAGCGGGGCCAGCCAGGAACTGGTATCGGCAGCTGGGCAGATCCACCAGGAACAAGTGGCCGGATTTGCTGCGCAGTTTCCAGACCCAGTACTGTGGATTGGGGGTGTCAGTGGCACGACAATACTACCACGCTCGCCGCAGATCGGAAGAATCCCCGCTAGAATACCTACATCGACTAAATGTGGCCGGTCTACGGGCCAAGTTGAAGATCAAGGATGGGGGATCCGAGGTACTACGGGAACATGTGGATCATTTCATCGAGACGTTGGGAGATGTGGATCTGGCCGACAGGCTGACCCTGTTACGTCTTCCAGACGCAGATGA